AAAAAAAAAAAAAAAAAAAAAAAAAAAAAAGGAGATGTTTTAGATCATTTCAGGTATCACTGGAAGAGATCCATACTTTCATTCAGTAGTAGTGTGGAAGGTTGCTGTGCAAGGCAAGAACAGCTACATAACAATTTTGATAGAGAGTGAAGGTCATTAGGGTGGTACATGCACAATTCTACATCAGCGAACATAGCAACTTTGAGCTTGTTCCTATTTCAAATGCTAAAAGCAACAACTCACAATTCAAAAGATAATTTGGACTACAGACTTTTCTGCACAATGAGACTTTCTTTGACGGTATCTCTAATGTCAAAGAACAAGTGAGTGTGGGATTCTTGTGCTACTGGCATAACAATTGTTCTACGAGCTATGATAGGGATCATTTAAAGTACTCTGTAAAACCCATAAACTTCATTCTTTTTATAAATTATTAGCAAGTCTTCCCACATCCCTTCCAGCCCTACCTTTCTATGAATCTATGTCACGTCACAACTTCATGTAGACTATATTCCACAGTAGTATGGATTATGAAACAAACAAGTACAATGCAACAGTTATGTTTTCCAGGTTATAGAAGTCTTTTTAAATGCAAAATATAACCAAGATTTATTACGAGGACACTTGCAAAATTGGCAGATTTAAAACATATACTTTTCTTCTCTCACCTTCTTAGATCTCCAACAACGACAGTAGACAGCTTTCTCTCCCAGGTCTTCCATGTCAAATGCATGGACAACTTTGGGGTTATCTTTCTGGATATGGAGATTTACCATTGCCTTGCAGCATTTGTCTTTAGAGAGAAATTTCTTGTAAGCAAGGTATCCAACAGCAGCTGCTCCAGCAGCTAGAGAGACTGCAGCAATCCATTCAACTAGAGAAGGAGAAAGGAAAAAAGTGTCAAAACCTTTTATGTTTTATTAAATATACTTCTGTTGTTTATTAACTGCACTTCTATTAAACAAGTGTATCAGTGCTTAGGACGTCAGCTACTTTTCAGTACATTTTCCAGTCTTCAATACCCATCTTCTGACTTCAGCCACTTAGTGCATCCCTTCCTATTTAACAGGGCTTCTCCCTACATGGTCCTTTCATTTAGCTTTTGTGCATCGGTGATGTCTGCATGAGCAATTTTGCTAATTGCACACTGCATCAATTAGCTATTAAAAGATAGCAGGCAACCCCAGCTCCAGTCTGAGTTGTAGAATAGTTCTTTAAAAAAGACAGTCTTTACAATGAAAGCACTTAAAAGCTCTTCAGATAGCATCAGCTGTGCAGAAGGCAATTCTCATAAAAAGTTTGCTCATGAAGTTACTCTTCAACAGATAAACAGATCATTTTACCAAAGTGATCCTAGGCAGTAAGCCTGACAGTCCATACTGTTAAAAAGGGGGGGGGGAGGCAGGGTTGCAAGAAAGCACAATTAAAATCCCGATACCATATCAATAAATGAAATATTGATCATCAGTAGCCCAAATGTGCATCGCTCAACCTTTAACCAAAGTAGGCTGTCACCTATGAAAACATATGCCTCTGAACTTCTATGATGTTGCACTGCCCTGCCTTCAACCTGTAAAAAGAGAATTCCACTTGTCTTACCCAGACTAAAATGCCAAGTTTCTGAAAGACTAAACATGAAGTCTTTCCTTCCTCACTTTAATGTCCAAAAGTGATCTTTAAATTTTCACATTCTTCTCCTCTTGCTTTGTATGATTTTTCCTGACTAACCAGCTTTTGGTCCTTTCAAACTTTTGTCTTCTCTTTTCCACTTGAAAGACTCCTGCCATAGAGTTCTTTTTGTGTAACGCCCACTATTTCTAAAACCAGCCCCTCCCCCACATTGTGCTCAGCCAGACTTCTTTCAAGGAAGAGACCAGTCCTAACCTTTGATAAACCGCTAGTACATATAGGGGTCAAAGCTGCCTCTACCAATCTATACATTGGATCTGTTCTTGGAAGGTTCTTTCCATGGATTTGGAGTGTTCACATTTGATTGTTTTGATTTTTTTAAAATAGTCTCAGACCAGGCATTGCAACCTTGCATATTTATCATGGTTTAGAAGAGATGGAAAGCACATACTAATATAGAGGGAGGTAGGACATGCCTACCACATGAATTTAAATACACATCTGCTAATTCTTGGTACTTTTTGCAGGTAATCCATTGACTTGGAGCCGAGCTTTTAGTAGGGGCGATACCAAGACGATACAAACAGATTTTCCCCACCTCATGTCCTACAGCCTTGTAAGTGACATCTCTCATAGAAAGTACGATAAATGTACTTAAGTTAATTTCCCCTGAGAGTAAATATTATGACATTAATTAGTTAACTCATGCTAGCTCACAAAATGCCAACCTGTAGGTTTAAGTGACAATGTTTATAGTACCACAATAATTACTACAGCCTTTCATTATAAATTTGACTTTCTTAAGGTATAACGCAGGGGTGGGCAAAATGCAGCCCAGGGGCTGGATGCAGCCCGTCAGGCCATTCTATCTGGTCTGTGGGGCCCCTAAAATATTTAGAAAATTAACATTAATCTGCCCTGGGCTGCCTGTCATGTTGCCTTTGATGGTTAGCCAAAACTCAGTAAGCAGCCCTCTACCCAAAATAATTGCCAGCCCCGGTATAACGGTAAAGGAAAAGAACCTTGTTCATCTGTTTTTATAAACAAAGCATAGAAGAATATATTTAATACCTTGCAAGTGTCCAGCAATTAAATATCAGATGGACTCTCCATCCAAAGATTACAAACATTCATAACTTATTTTTGCACTTTATTTTAATTGTTGCAGCATTGTATACCATAAAGGGGAGTTTTTTTAAACTAAAATCTGTTCATATAGAACAAGTTTTCCAGCTTTAAGCTTCATATCAAGAACTGCCAAAATATTATAATCTATTTTCACAGCAGAGAGTAAAGAGCTAGGAGACAGCAAGAAGTTTTTGGAGAAAAAGGGGATTCTATTTTAACTTAGCAGAACCCTTACCCAAGGTCAACATCCCCAACAGCCTCCTAACAATATGAAGGACAGGAAAAAAAATATGGTGCAGGCAAATATATTCAGGAGTGGCTAGGCTGCAGAAAATGTATCGTTTGGGAGGTGGCCAACTCCCATTCCTATAAATTCGTGGACCACCATGTCTGAGTTCCCAACAGAACTAGGTCTATGGTAGGTCTCCTTTAAAATAGGTCTCAGAGAAAATCTGCTTCTGACAAACACAGAGACAAATTAAAGACCCCTGCCTTCCTCTTTAGAGTACAAGAGAAGTGGAAAAACAAACAAACAAAGCAGCTGAAGGTCAAAGGCAGTACTGCATTAGTTTCAAAAGACTGTAGAAGAAGTTAAAGGATACTCTGTGTACCTGCTGAATTTTTTCAACTTCAAAATAAAAGGACCACCTCACAAATGCAGCTGCTTTCCCCAGGTTCAGCTCAGCCAATCAAATAAGGACCAAGCTATAACTCACATTTTCCCCTGGCTGTTTGACTAATTCCCAGGTAGTCATTATCTTCTACTTAAGCCAATGGGGAACACAACAAACACTGTAGATATAGCCCCAGGGACACTTCTCTTGGCAAGTCAAGGCAATATGGCAAAACAAAGCTGAACAAAAATTCAACTCTGTCTTGGGATGGGGAAATAAGGAGCTCTCACATAACACCAGCTTAAGTCTTTCTGAGAGTCACCATTAAAGAAAGATGCATTCTGAAAACACCCCTCAAATCAACAGTAGCATCTAGGAATTAAGCTATTAACTCAAATAAACTTGCATGAGGCAAGGGCTTTTTAGGGGTGATATCTTTAATTGGGCCAATTGCATGGTTGGAATAAAGTTAAACAAGCTTTAGAATGCAAGGCATTCTTCATCTTAAGCTTGTTGAGCTTTATTCCATCCATGTAGTTGGCCCAATTAAAGATATCACCCCTAAAAAGCTTTTGCCTCAATTCCTAGACCATCATGGCTATAGCATCACTAACAGCACAAAAACCTTGCATCACATTCAGGAACACTCCCATAAAATCAAAACTCCATTGAGAATTTTCAGCTCAGACACTATGAAAGCCATCAAATACCTGATGACAAGAAGAACCTGCCAGTAGGGAGGAGTGATTTTGGTCAGCAAACAGAAAATTTAATCTTTTGTACTTTAAAAAACAAAAAAACAACTAAAAGCCAGAATGAATACAAATGTGCATCTGCACAGTATATATGAACATACTGATTCTTAATGTTTATAATACTATGCTACAAAAAAAAGTGAATAATTTTAGGGATGAGCCAATAAAGATTTTCTTGGCCAATACCAAAGGCCGATTATTAACCAACCATATCAGCCGATACTAATCCGACAGCCAATTTACAGGAATGCAGCCTGGCAGCATAGAGAGCAGCCTCCTGCCAGCAAGTCTGTGGTGGGGAGGGAAGGAGCATTTTGGGAAGCAGGGTGGAGGGGCAAATCAAGGCCCCCACAGTGATGAAGGGAGTGGGGCAGGGGCAGACACTTCACTGCCTTGGCCGGGCATGCAACCTTGAGAGCGAGACAGAGCCATGGGCAAATGGGGACATAGGCCTAGCTCCCTGCTGTTGCGTACAACCCCAGGGGAAACAAGGCAGGTATGTGCCCCCTTAGATGTATGTGTGGGGCGAGGACAGACTGTCCACAGCAGGCACAGGGCCAGAGGCTACGCTTGCCTCTTCCTGGTGGGGCTGCGCTTGGGGCGGGCAGGGATGGGGTGCATAGCAGTGGCACTGGGAGAGTTGGCTATAAAACATACCCTGTAGCCACCCCCCCTAGCGCCACTGCCGCCTGCCCTGAGCACAGCCCTGGCCCAGCTCCACCACTGGGAAGAGGCCAGCACTCTCTGGCCAAGCCCACAGCAAGCAGCCCACCCTCACCCCACACAAATCCAGGGGGCACATGCTCCCCAGGTCTCCCCCCATTCCTCCCTCCTGCACCCCCTCTGCCCACCCCCCAAACAAGCCACCTGCAGCTCTACCCCAGGGTTGCATTCATTGTCCTGGCTGGACAGCACCTGCCCCTTCCTGACTCCCTTACTATGGAGGCCTGGATCTTGAAACCCTCTGGGTCAAGTTACTAGGCAGGGGGGAGGGGCAGCAGCACAAGGTGAGAGAAACCTAACTGTAGACATTTACTACAGGCCACCAAACCAAGCGGAGGAGCTGGATCTGGAGTTCTCTCAAACTGACAGAGGCCGCACATGCAAGGGACTTGGTTGTCATGGGTGACTTCAACTGCCTGCACAAACTGGGAGGAACACTTGGCTAAGTCAGATTGTTCACTCAGTTTCCTGACTGTGATCGAGGCGCAATTCCTGATCCTAGAAGCGCAAGGGCCAACCAGAAGTAACGCTCTCCTAGACTTGGTCTTGACCGAGGGAGGTGATCTGGTGTGTGGCTTGAACACTGAGGGTAACCTGGGCGACAGCAACCATGAAATTATCAGGTTCACCATCCACCGCAAAGCTGACAGATCAACCAGCAGGATTGAAGTCCTGGACTTCAAAAATGCTGACTTCAACAGGCTCAGAGCATTAGTAGGGGAGGCAATGTGGGACCACGAAGGGAAGGCAAATGGGGTGCATGAAGAGTAATTGTTGCTCAAGGACACAATCCTCAAAGCACAAAAGAAACCTGTTCCTGCAAAGAGGAGAGGTAAGCA